TCTGCTATACAGAGTGAGTTCCAGAACAGCCATGGTTATGAAGAGAAATCCTATCTCAACCCTCACTACTGCCACCAAAACCAAACAGACAAAACACCAAAAAAATGTATCCTTTCACTCCTGTTTCCATCCATATTTTCTCCCTTATAGCTGATTTCATCACTATTTCTAGCTTCCCTTTATGTAAACAAATAAAACATGACTGCCCGTTCTTCACCCTCTCCCCTTCTTATATAAGTCAGGGCACCAGGCCGTGCGATGGTGCGCACCTATAATCCATGAATTTGAGGTCAGTCTAACTACACAGGATAGCTGAAGATACCGAAAACAATGCTATTTACACTTAGGTCTTTTCGTGTAAGAGTATGTTCTGGGGTCTTTGTTTCTTATAGCTGTAAAATACTCTACGTTTATTCAGCTAACCCTTTACGGAAGATGCTGCAGCAGGGTGGTCCCCGCTGTCCTCCCATCGACTCCTGGTTTCGTGTCACATGGACCCACCGCCCATCACCTCCTCTAAACACTTGCGCCTACGCTTTTGTCAGCAGCTTCCCTTTGCGGTGGGCTGTAGTTCTTATGGAGAGTCAAAGAAGAAGAAAATAAGTATACATATGTAGCTCACACCTTCCCCGCAGCTGAGAAAACTCTGCAGAAGAAGAGACACAGAATGAAAAGAAGAGGCTGAGAAAGGGCTGAAGTCTATCTAGCTCTATCCTCCAGAACAGAAAACTCCCTCCTGGAGGGGGCTCAGGAGGCTTCCAAGAAAGCGTTACAAGTACTGTAAGACAGTAAAACTTACTAGAGATAGCTGCATATGCAAACACATTGCTTCACCACTGATGACAGCTAAGAAATAGAAGCACCTAGTGCGCGTCAACAGACAGTAAAGAAAGTGTGCTATCTATATACAGTGGAATTTTATTCCGCTGTTAAAAAATCATAATATTCTAGGAAAATGGATGAAAAACCAGAATTCTTAGCTTAAGTAAAACAAGGTAAATTAACAAAGACAGTACTGCATATTCTGTCTTACTGGTGAACGGAAAAAAAAAGAATAAAAAGGAAAAAAACTGAAAATATGGCTGTTTCTAGGTATGGTGGAGGAGAAGTTTATTACAGACATGTGGAAAAGCATAGCCAGAGGCAGGGACCTCTGGCAGAGTCGAGAATGTATCTGACCCCAGTCATGTGAGAGGAGGGGGAGAGAACCAGGTGCAGCAGCTGGGAGGGCCAAAGGTACAAACCCAAATGGTTGGGTTATAGAGGGAAGAGTAGCCCAGTCCCCTCCACTGAAGAGCTCAGGGTTGGGGGTGGGGGTGTTACGCCAGCCAGAAGAAACCTCTAACAGGCAGGGACTGAGAGCTGCAGAAAGAACCTGGCAGCCAGGTCCGCCTTCATATGTTAAATAGGCACCTCAGATTTAAATGTGTGTGCACACATACACATATACATGTATCTGCACACATATTCACGCAGACACTGTGCATATGTGTGCTGGGACTAGGCTGTCTCTAACTATATACTAGACCGTAAGTTCTGAGTTAAGAAATTGCTTTGCCTTTACTGGATGTTTTCAGTATCTGGAATACTGTATTTGGGCAGCATCAGTGAAAAGCAAAGAATAATAGCAGCACAAAATTACAAATTCCATGCTGAAATGTGCCCAGAAAGTAAAGGTACATGAATAAGGGGTGTTCACAGGGTCCAAATGTAGGTAGATTACAACTGGACACTGTTGATAGTTGCTGTGTGCTCAGCATCACATCCTTGCTGTCTATAGTAGTCAGGAATCTTAACTTGATTACTTTCATTCAGAACCAAGCCAGATTCGTTCAGCTCTACTACTTAATCTCCCCCAACCACGTGAGTGATCACACCAAGTGTTCATACCGCAGCTATAGAAACACTTCTACAGCTCATCTCTGGCAGGGATGTGCTAAGACACTAACAAGCTCAAGTTCTTTCTTTTGGCAATAAGAAAAATATTCCAAGAATGTATACTTTTAGAGTGCTTGTCCAAAATGCACAAAATTCCAGGTTCAATCCTCAGTACCACACAAACCTGGGCGTGTGGCACATGCCAAATATCTCAGCACTCCAGAGGTAGGAGTTTATTTGTTTTTAAGAAAGATAAAATGGGGTTGGGGATTTAGCTCAGTGGTAGAGCGCTTGCCTAGCAAGCGCAAGGCCCAGATTCGGTCCTCAGCTCTGGGAAAAAAAAAAAAAGAAAGATAAAATGACTTTTACCTTAAGACAATGTTAATTAGTTATAACCAAGAAGTACAGGTTTGTTTCATTAGTTTATATGACTAAAAACATGGTGGGGGTCAGAGAAAGATAGACTGGACTGGACTTTGAATCTATCTTGAAGTAATATATAAAAGTAACTTTGTTTTTATATTATGTGTTTTTTATTTAATCAGTTATTCTGAGTCTGAGGTTGGATGGATTAGAATGGATTCTAAAAGAGGCCTTAGATCTGTTCCTCTGCCCACTGGGTAAAGGCCCAGCAAGAGTCATGAGGCAGGTTCTCCCCAGTCAACAAGTCTGCTTGTGTCTTCACCTCAGACCTCCAAGTCTCTAGAGACATAAGAAACCTATTTTTGTTTATGATATATATCTATGGTATTTGTTCTAGCAGCCCCCAAAGACTAAGACAATAATGTCACAAAATCCATGAGAACAGGGATAGTCTAAATATATTACAGTAAAAAAGAAAAGACACCAAGACTACGGAGAGAAACCCTGTCTTGAAAAAAAAAAAATAGACACAATGTCATTATTCTCCAGTAATGCCCACAGGTTTACCACGGAAGCCAACTCTGAACATTCCGTGGTCAGCTTCCTTCAATATTCCATCCTTACTTCAGGCTGAACACTGGTTTAAACAGAAGAGCCATCTGCACCCTTATCCCACCTGGTCCCCAGTCCCTACCATGCTGCCACAGAAATGTCCCTTTGCAACAGCTGGGCTCAAGCTCTTTAGCATTCCACTTGGCAAACATCTACTTTATTTTATTAACTAATCTCTGAGACATGGTCTCTCCACAGTGTTGGCAGGATCCTGCTCCATAGATCATGGCCTGGGACTCGCAGGTCTTCCTGATCCTGCTTCTCCAGTGCTGGGATTAAGGCGCATACTTAGCACATCTAGCCTGTCTATTCTTTTCAGGTGGACACCTGACTGGGCACCTAAATGACACTTTCTTTCTGTCACTCCCAATGTGAAAATGATTTCAGTGCTTACAAGATAAAGCTGTTTAATAAGAGCCGCCTGACATTTAAAATTTAGAGATGACGTGGCTGTCTGTGAAGACATCAACATGCATACTGCTACAGAGCACATCTCTTTTATGTGTTCTAGCAGACAGTGACAATGCCAACAAATACTTAAAACTTGACACTATCCATCAAAATACTCAACAGTGGAACTGACTACTCCCTCTGACACTGAAATGGACATAAGCTGTGGACCTCAGCTAATGAATGCTTTAAAGACTGTGCTGCCAGATCATGCTGGGCATTCTGTCTCATAATCTACTTAGGCTTCTTTTTCTGCTACTGTATTATTTCCAGGTAAGGATTTTCATCCACAGTTTCTTTTTTAAATGAGATAACATTTCTAGACTTGGTAGATCCCAAAGAAATATACTATACTGCAGATGTTATGGTAGCTTTGAGTTTCTAAGGAAACAAGAAAATAATAATTAATATAACCCTTTGATGTCATGTGTGAGAATATAAATATTAGTTTTCTGGGAGAAATAAAGGAAAGTAATTGTTACAGTTTAAATCTTTAATGCCTACAAAGGACCAAGCGTTAAAAGACTGGTTGCCAGCATATGGCTCTACTGCGAGGTACTGGAATCTTTAAGTGGGGTCTAAGGCCAGGCATGGGGCATAAACCTGCTAAAAACTCAGGAGCAGAGCAGATTATGAATACAAGGCCAGCCCTTTTCTATATACCAAAACCTGTCTCACAGAGGCAGGCCAATCTCTCTGAATCTGAGGCTAGCCTGGTCTATTTAGCAAGTTCTAGGACAGCCTGGGCTACTGTGAGCCTTTGTCTCAAAACAACAGCAACAACAAAGCAGAGTTAGGAAGAAAAACTAAGCCTACACAAGCAAAGGAAGACAAAGAGAAGCTGTGAAGCCTCGTGAGGAAGCAGGGTCACCCTGGCTGCCATGGGGTAGTTTTGTCTGCCACACACTCCTGTTGGGATACACTACATTACTGAGACTTGTGCAGCCATGCGCCAAGCAATCTTTTCACTTTATAGACAGGTTCTCTGAGGTGTGTGCCACAGTAACTGACTGACTGCACAGCAGAGCTGGAAGCAAGCATGGTGGAAGGTCCGCCATACTTGAGAGGGTGCGAACAGCACAGAGAGAGGAACTATGTCCGTGAGAGACCCACACCCACAGGGCGGCGCGACATTCGGCTGGACACGCTTGCTACTTACAGCTACAATCTATCAGGTGAAACCGAGAAGACAGCCAAACAGGGACAGGCACTTTACGCAAGGGAAGCTCACGGGCTGAGGGCGCGGCTCAGGGGCAGACCACTTACCTACCACACTCAGGGTTTGGAGGCAATCCCTAGCACCCAAGGAGAACGAGCACAAAGCAAACCAGGACCAGCCTCTGTCTCCTAATGCTGGGATTACAGGTATGGGCCACCAAGCCTCGCAAAAACTCCATTATTTAACTATTTAACGTACTCGCTTCCAACATAAATCTGAATGTCAAAGTTGAACATAGGTATCTTTTACCTCACAGGCTGTTAGATATAAGAGTATGAGAGAGCACGGCTGACGAGTCTTACAACAGAAAGTAAGTATGCCTCAGACACCAATACAACTCAAGCTGATTATAAACAAAATTCCTTCATGCAACTGTCACGAAAAAGTTATTAGAAACAAATAATTTCTACAAATTTCTGTTTTAAGGGACTGTTTAAAACTTCATGGAAAGCTGTCAGAAAGCAAAGAATAAATTTACCTTATTTTCTTCAAGAAATTTCAATTTGACAGAAACATCACTGCGCATTTTATCATATTTCTCCTTATGTATTTGGAACAGATGCTGGGACTGCTCAATTTTTGGCAGAGTGTTGGCATCGCGTGGTCCAAGGTTCAACTCTTCCAAATCAGTGCGATATGCATCATATTCAATCCTGAAAAGAGAGTAAATGATGCATACCAGTGAGACAGCCCGGAGACAGGCTGGAAAAGAACACTCAGTCTCATATCACTAATAACACTCACCCCTGGTCTACACTGGATGCTTCTGAAATCATTACTTCCCCGGTAGTAAAGACCTGTTAGTAACATGAGCATGCGAGACTGGCTTTGTCCTTCAGCACTACAGAGTACATGTATGCACATATGGATGAGCACACGCCAACACACGTGTGTGTGCACACACATCCAGATGGGGAGGACCTGCTTAATTTCATGTACTATTTCTCCCCCAAATTTACAATATTAACTATCAAAATTTTCAACTTTTAACAATCACTTAAATTTAAAAAAAAAAAATAGATGTAAACCTCAATAGATTCCAAACCATGTTCAAAGTAGTTATGAATCCTTAGTGTGAACTGGTTAGTGAGGACCAGACAAGGTTGGCGAGACGAGCCAACCTCAGAATGCCTTGCAAAACTAGTAAGATACGTCACAGCGAGGGCTGCCAATGCGTCATGCAGGTACTTTAAAATGTTCTGATAGCTGTATTTAAATAATAAATTTTAGTGTCACTTTTATTTTACCCAGCACACCGAGATACCATTGCTGCAACGTGTAAGAGAGTAGACAATTGCTACTGAGCTACTTATATCTGGGGGCTGGGTACTGGGTCTCACAAAGCAGCTGTGTAGTTTTCAGTACCTTCATATTCCGGCTCAGACTGGCCACATTTCAGTGTTTAATAGTACATGTGACAGAACCATGCCACTGTGACAGTGGCATTTAGGATGTGACGACATCTCCTACAAGTACTTAACCTGCTTCAGTGAGGTGCATTGCCTTACAGCTCCTGAAATAGTTACCCAGCAGCCTCACTCCGTGATCTTACAGCAACTGCACAGCCCCTCCGTCACAGCCCCAGGAAGTACACTACTGCCACAATGAGCCACAACCCCCCAGCTGCCTGAAGTATTCAGTACTCAACTGAAAGGAAGCAAGTGACCTCATTTAGTAGAAACCAGAATCACACAGCGTAGGTGCACAGCAAAAGACAGCAGACATCAACATGGCGACTCACATCTCCCAGTCCAAGAAGGAAGAATAAAGTTTACACCACACTTGAAAAGAGTATGGCAGTCTGTCACATCAAGCTCAGCTTGTTTATTTCTTTGGGGGGCTTTCTGAGACTGTCTCACTATGCAGCTCTGGCTGTCTTGGGACTTACTATGTATACCAGGCTGGCCTTGAACTCACAGAGCTCCGCCTGCCTCTGCCTCCCAAGTGCTGGAATTAAAGGTGTGTGTCACTCTATGCCCAGCCCAAGTCCAGTTTGTTTGTTTGTTTTCTCAAGGCAGGCTTTCTCTGTGTAGCTCTAGCTGTCCTGGAACTTATTCTGAAAACCAGGCTGGCCATGAACTCAGAGATCTCTGTCTCTGCTTCCTGGGTGATAGGATTAAAGGTATGTGGCACCATGCTTGGCACCCAGGCCCAGTTTATTTTTTAACTTGTATTATATTTAACAAACTAGATTGTTCCGGGCCAATGAGGATCGGTCATTCATTCACTAATATGTTGATCCATCCAACAGTTATCCAGCCAGGACTGTCTGTGTTTCAGGTGAGCTGGTGAGTGTATCCTCAAGAAACTTGTTTGTACCCAATCTCAACAAATGGCATAATACAGATTATCATTACAGACAGTGGGGTTGACTATTTAAGGAATCGTTTCTGAGGAGAGCAGAAAACAGGACACAGTTAAAATATGAAGGGTGGTAGAGCTTACTAGGCTGATAAAGCTGGTAGACCGTCCCCAAAGAGAACAGTAAGGGCACAGCACAGATACACGTGAACTAACTCTGTGTAAGAATCCAAAGTTAATGCACAATAATGGAAGAAATTCCCGTCAGGACAGCAGGCAGCCCCTGGTCCCTCATGAACAGTTCACATGTAAGCGAGCAAGAACAAACAGCAGAGGAGCCTGTGATCTGACCTGACTTCCCCTGTTCAGGATAAAAAGCGGACTCTCCAGTGGCAAGGAAGGGAGAGAGACTGGAGCGAACTAAGGAAATGAGCTCACCTCAAGACCATGGGGAATAGGAAATGAGCCTCGAGAGTGGAATAAAGGCAAGGGACACTAAGGTGGACACAAAAAGTCAGTGGGCAAGACAGACTAGGTAACAAGTTAGTTATACTCATAGGTTCAGAAGCCAAGCTACCTTTCCCTTGCCCTTGGGTCTTGGGTCAGCACTGCGCGCATGCGTGTGTGTGTGTGTGTGTGTGTGTGTGTGTGTGTTTCCATTTTTCAGGATGAATGGGAACCACATCACTACAAACCTCATCACCATGTTTTATCTGACACGGGGCAATAAATGAAACCTTCAGAATGCTTAGTGCTAGAGGAGGAAGAACTAAAGCCAGCTACAAACAAGGAGAAGCCAACTTAAAGTGGAAGGGTGTGGCCTCACCCTGCAAACCTCCGAGGCATTTTACACAGTAGTGACTGACTGAAACATGCAGTTACAATATTGACCTGCATTCCTGAGCTCTCACATTCATCTTGTAGGTGGCGCCAAAGGAAACCATCCCAGCAACACTTCTCTGAGAGCAATCACTACCACCCAAGGGCACTCAGTCTTCTAGACCCAACTTTCACGAGAAGTGTCGGCATCTGAAAAGTCACGACTTGCTGCCTTGCTGCTGTGGAGGAATGCTGAACGGGCTGTTATAAGGCCAGGAAGGAAGTGTACACAGGCACTTCAGGGGTTAACAGACCACCCAGCATTTGCCGTAATTACCACTTCTAATGCTGACCAAATGAGTAACCCTTGCCCTAAAAGTCAGTAAATTCTGGTTTTAACAAAGAAATAAACTGCTCCTTAAAACTTTGAAGTTTGGACTCTTCTTTAGATTTGTCCCCTAGATGCCAATGTCCCGGTGTTACTACTGACCAAGCCCTCAGAGAAATGATAAACAGAAATCAAGCCCCAAGCTAAACCTAAAGAATTCGCTAGTGTAATTTGAATAAAAAAGGACAATTATAGGATGAAATAATTGTTGGTTTCTCAAGCACACAAATGAGGTGGTCTGAAGGTTTCCTTTAAGTAACTATCCAAAGGTTCCAAATTAGCCAATATACTGTCTATACTAAGATCTGATACCACATTATCCTTTCAGGTTCTCATTGTAATATGTAAAACCTTTTTCATTATGAGACTTGAAATTTTTGTGCTTAAAATTTACAGTATTATTGTTGTGTTAAGCTAGGCAAGACATAATCACTCAACTACACTCTCAGCCAAATTTTAGATTAAAAGATAGGAAGCCAAATGGGCATTTGAAACTACAGGTAAGCAAGCCATTCACCCTCTGCAGACTTACTTTACAACTCTTTAAATCAAACCTAAGTGTTCTCTGTACTGAGCTGTACATGGAGGCACCTACCTATAGCCCCAGCACTCAGGAGACAGACTAGTAAAACAAAAGAATTCTTATCTTTGAATCTTCTAGTCTCCTAAGTACTAGAAAAACTGAATAAATAAGCTGAAAACCAGCTTAAGATAATTAAAGGTAGGTTAAAGTATGCACTCTGTATGATTATGACAGAAAAATTCAGGAAAGAACCACACAGAAGTCAGACAAAAGCAGCTTTTATTGCTCTGCACATGAACCCATGAGAAACACAATGCCTAAGAAAGGGTTTGAACAGACTGGAGAGTCAACCGCTACAGATGCTGCTAAGGCAGTTCCCTTAGAAGGTGTCTTACTGACAAACGGTTTCAACATTCAGGAAGGAAATCTATAGGTAGATTACTTCCAATTCAATCTTTTATCATCTGACTTTATCTTCTTAATGAATAATTAAAATAAAAAGGTGAGTCTTTAGCCTAAATAACCTGTAAACCAGTAACCTCAGCTTCGAGCAGCACAGAACAGAAGCACTTCTTGTGACAAAAATCAAAAATTAACTTTTCCACATATCTGGGCTTTGACCTGGATATAAAATAGACAGTATATACCTAAGAATAAGCACCCAACTACAAAATAATGAGATAGATGCTTTCAGAGTTCTTATAAGCACTGTCATTAGCTAGGACAACAGGTCAAAAGTCGAGTTCTACTCCCACAAGGTAAAGTTAGCACCACCTTCAACCATGCTATGGAAAACTAACAGAAAGCTCGCATCCAAGTGCGCAGAGAACACTAAAAGAAAATAAGGCTGATAATAAACAACGGTATCAGGATACAGGGAAAAAAACTGGCTATGGAATCAAAAGTTGAAAATGTTATTATGGGTGTGGTACTTTCAGAGAATATTTTTAGGTATTTAAAGGTATTCATTACTACACATTTGTTCACCTAGCAAGATCACGAGCTAGGGATATGCAAGTAAAGCAGCACATTCGGAAGATGTGTACTATAAACAGCTACCATAAAGGGAAATATTTACGTGTAAGGTCAAATGGGGAAGCATCTGATGGCAGTTTACCCTGGGTAAATGGAGATCAGGCTGGCACTGTGGAAGCAGTGTGACTGCTCACAGCCAATAGCATGGTTATGGGCTCACATTAGCTCAGATTCTGAAGTCTACTTGGTAGGACAAAGGAAGATAGCATTGGGAGCTCCTTCATTTCCCCTTTAGCAAGCGAAGTTGGGGTATATGAATAAGGCTCAAGTGGACATTCACACAGCAAAAGTATTCAGGGCCTTCTGAAAATCACTTCTGAGGTGGCAGCATCACATATCTAGGAAACCAGATTCATATGCTAATTAAAAACTCATTGCCTGTCTTCAAAACCCTCTGTCCCGTTTGTTCTTTCTGAGAACTAACTTCCGACCTTCTATCCTTTTCTGGAAGTCAGAGAACAGTACTCTGTGGATGTGGCTCTCTCCTTCTACCACTACATGGGTCTCAATACTAAGCCAATCATGAGACTGATGTAGCAAGCACCTTTGAGCATAGAGCCAAATAACCATCTTTGCTTTTTCTAGTACATTCTTTATCTTCCCATACGGGACAGTTATGTTTCTCTTGTTTGCAACTCGAAACAGTTACTAAATACAAGTCATCTGTAAAATAAACAATATAGAGAAAGTGAATACCTACCTGGCATTTTCATACTGTTTTACAGTCATTAGTGTATCTTCAATTGTTTTATTCACCAAGGTGTTCACACTAGCAATGAAAAAATTAATGGCCCCAAGAAGAGTCTCTCCGTTTTTGGCCAGCAGCTTCTGGGTATCTGCATTATAGCCAAATTCTTCCTAAAACAAAGACGACATCTTAACTGGTCTACTAATAAATCAGTAGACACCACTTTGAAATCGTAAACATATTACCAATGAGAAAATGTCTGACTTAGAAATCTAGCAACAGAAGTTTTACTTTTTCTGCTAATCTTTAAATATATAAGAAACTAAATCATACCTAGCGACATAATTACTAAAAGTTTAGTAAACCAAAATTATCATTAGCCCAGACACACAGCTAAATCTAAATAATTTTAAAAGCTAAATTACTCTGTACCATAAAGAATATTTTTCCTACATTTTGTTTCTATTATACTATAAACACAGCTGTGTGGGGAAATACAGCAGTTTATTAATCAAAAGAAGTTAGAACTTTCAAGACCAAATTAGGTAACAATTGGTTAAAACTTTCAGGCATAAAATGGATTGCATTTTTGTGTGTGTTTTGGTTGAATTTCCTGAAAGTATAAATATTGACAAGACACAGCTCTTGGTAAACTCAGGGACTGGGTGCCTTTCACAGTCAGGTCTATGTGGGCACACACGAGTCACTCAACACCAGCTCCAGCTCACTCCACCAAGCTGTGTCTCAGCTCAGCCAACGCTTCAGACAACGCCGTCCCGTGTGGCACCACACAGCCTGCATGCTCAGCAGTGCGAGCCGCCCACCCAAGGGAGCGGGAACACATCTGACCAAAGACAGCAATCCCATTTTACCGTAATAGGCGACGTTTAGCTTGAGTTCTCTAGTCTGATATAAAACACTTCAATTTTAGCTATAGAAAAGCAGCGAAGTTAACAAGAAGATGACACTTTAATGTAGCGCTACAGTTATAATTACATTTCTATATGATAACTTATTTAATAATTCAGTTAAGTATTAGGGGAGCAAAATGACATTCTGCTAAAAACATGTTCTATTTAGGAGAGAGTCATGTGCTTTATTCTAGACTCGGTTTTCTCACTTGTGCGGAGTGCAAATGTAGGAATATGTATGCAGCAAGAATACTGCACACTTTAATCCTAACATTCAGGTGGCTAAAACGATAGAAGTGTTTCCAGCTTATGCCAACTGGAGCTATAGGGCAAGCCCCTGTTTCAAATTAGATAAATAAATAAACAAGCAGACACTGTCAATCAACGGGGAAGCAATTAATCATCCTACCATCATCAGCATCTCTATAATTAAAGGGAGGACAGCAGGATCTTTCTGACATTTTCTACGAACTAAATTACATATGATGTATAATTAAATGTTATTGCATATAACAAAGTATGGAATCGAACACTTTCTTCAACTTCTAGAAAATGTTAAAATATTGTAATTATGCTCATTTTTTTTTGACATTAAGAGGTAAAAGCCAAAATTTAAAAAACATCAACAAAAAAAAAAAAAAAAAGGAAACCATAAAAACTAGAGTTATAGCTGGGTATGATGGTGCACACCTTTAATCCCCACCATTTGAGAGGCAGAGGCAGGCAGATCTCTGTGAGTTTGAAAGAGTGAGGTCCAGGACAGCCAAGGCTACACAGTGAAAACTTGTCTCAAAACACAAAACAAAAACCTACATTTATATAAACATAATAGTTAACAAATTTACAAAATTAAGGAGCTCTTCTTACTTACTGTGTAACAGAGCATGGAAGAGTACCAATAGGCATGTTAACACAGATATGGACAGGGGACACAGGCATGAATGAGGACATCAATGTGGACGGGGACACAGGCGTGGACATTGATGTGGATGCAGGGTGGGGAACATGGACATGGATGAGAATGTGGAGGGACAGGGATGGGAGTGATGGGGGGCTGCACACAAGGCCTTCATCCTACAAAAGAACTACAGGCAGCTAAGGAAGAGCAAGAGAGGAAGAAATAGTCTTCCCCAGGGAAAAGCACCCCATTGGCTACCCAAAACATATACAGGAGTAACATACAGACACAGTAGGTTGTATTCATATATTTAAGAATACACACACATTAATGAAAACAGAGGCCATGAATAAAAGAGGTCAAGAAAGGGTATAGGAGACAATCTGGAGGGAAGAAAGGGAAAGACAGAATGATACAATTAATTACAATCTCAACAAATGAGGGGGAAAGAAGAGCAGAGAGACCAATGCAACAGAAGAAAGACCCTGGGAAAAAATCCATGTATCTAATCTAAAACAAATTCTGTCTGATAGAGCTTCTAAAATTTGATTTTCTGTATTTTTTATTATTGTACTATATCAATGTCTATACCAAATTTCTTATCCAAATTTCTAGGACCAAATGATTTTCTGCTTTTAAATGATCTACTTCTTCAGGTTAGACATCTGTCGGGTGAAGGATTTTTATCTTTTGCTCCAGGCAAGATGAATAGCCAGATATCAAATGAGTTGTAAGACAGCAGTTCTCAAGAGATTTGTGCTGGGCTTGGGCTGCAGCTCAGTTGGTAGAGTGACTGCCTATCATGTTTAATCTCTAGCAGCATGTGAACTGAGCACGGGAGTACACACATGTAGGTTCTAGCAATCAAAAAACCGAGGCAGGAAGATGAGAAGTCCAACGTCACACGTGGTTGTGTCGGGAGTGAAGACCTAATTGGGCCTAGAGACTTTTGTCTTAAAATAAGAATGTTCTGCTCGGTATTTACAGAGATAAATTTTATATACATAAAAATATATTTACATATATATATATATATATATATATATGACTTCCATTCTAAATGTCTGCCTTAGAAATGCTAAACACATACTCTATTTGAGCTGTACTCCAGAGTCTAATCTAATTGATTTTAATAATTTTAGTGAACATATACCACAAGTCCACTTAAGGAGTAACTATTTGTTTAACATATTTGGAAGCTGGCAAGAGGTTTTCACAGCAAGTGCTTAACTTACTTTCTATCCTACCAAAGGTTCATAGGTAGTTACGGTTCTTCGTAGGCCGGGGTGGGCTTAGTAATCTTTTCTCTTCTCTCTCCAAGAACTTTCTCCTGGACTTCCCAGCTGCCATCTACTCCAGGCATGAATGGGTCACTACACTGACAGTCATCTAGATCTTCTTAAAGATCGTGTGATATAAGCTGGGTGGTGTCACAACACCTTTAGCTCTAGCACTCGGGAGGCAAAGGCAAGTGATGAAAGGCAGGCAGAGGCATCCCCATAAGCCAGCCTGATCTACAAAGTGAGTTCCAGGACAGCCAGGCCTACACAGAGAAACCTGTCTCAAAACAAAACAAAACAAAACTAAACTAAACAAAAAGATTGTATGATGTAGTATCTTATAAAGAATGCCTCAAAGTCCCATGTATATTGGGGTTTGGGGATACAGCCCAGCGGAGTAAAGCACATGCCAGTCATTGGGTTCCATGTCCAGCGCTCAAACACAACAATACCAATTTTATTAAGAGTTTACCAAGTCATAAATGAAAAGATTACCTCTCAGAATACTTTGACTAGCATCGTTATACTCACAACCCCTGAGAGTTATTTTAAACAATCTTACGTGGAGTTCTAGAGATTTCAAACTCAGGTCGGCAAATGCATCTCCAAGTTGCTTTTGGGTATGCACCATCTGGAAAAGCTGCGTTGACAATGTCTGAGCCAATTTCAGAATGTTTTCATATTTTTTCTTATTATCTCTTAATATATCAATCTGAGCTTCAAGTTCAAGGTCCACAGTTCTTGAGCCACGGCCTAGCTTCTCAGATATAATTTGCCGAGTACACTGAAAGTAGAAAGATGTACCTTGTTTAGTAAGGCAAAAAGAGAACAGTAAGATAATACAGCGATGCAAAGTACTGCACCTGACTGCGCCCTCAAGCAAGGAAGTTCCTACTGTGCAAGCTACACCAGTGTCCTTGCTCTGGCTGGATGCCACAGGCCCTGCCTCCTGCTTATCTGTGGGTACCAACCTGGCCTCCCGGTTCAAGTCTGTATAATAAACATGCTGGAGTTTCTTCATCAGAGAACCTAGTCCACCATCCCAGCTCTTTCTGTGTGTCTGTTCTTATGTTTATCTTTCCTTGGTTCTCTTACAGCCCTCGTCAGGCCAAGTCCCTGCACCATGGCAAAGGATGAGGGCAACAGGATTAACAGGCAGGAAAGGTGTGTGCTGCCAAGCCTGACCCCTAGGACGTCATGGTGGGGTGAAAGAACCAACTCCAGCAAGTTATCCTCTGACCTCCACAGGTCAGGTGTGCTATGGAAAGAGTACACACACACACACAGACACAGTCACTCAAAATAAAGAATACTGTTCTGGGAGATGAAAATCAAAACAGAAAAGTTTAACTTGAGACTGATTTTAAGGAGAAAAACACTGACAAAAATGGTATGTGAGCCTGTAACAAGACAAAAGAGAAGGTGCTGGTTCCCAGAGTTCCTATCAGTCTTTTACTTTATTTACAAGCCAAAGCATAATGCTTTCCACAGCAACCCAGATATGAAGTCTGTTGAGAGTCAAAAGCTAGAATTCATTGGCTGAGGGTTGCAGATAGCACAGAATGAAAATTCTACTGCTGTGCGAATGACCACTTTTCCAGAAAAGCTGGTGCTCACCAGCAGGCACCTGGGTCGAGATCTAATGAAGAAATGCTTTCTATTTCCTGCAACTAGGGCAGTAGGAAGAGTAAGATATTGATTATGAGGCAATCGGAGGTAAGTTTGGGCACATTACTTAAATTCTGAAAGTGAATTTACAAAACCTACATGAGATACCTATACATTCTTAAGGAAAATCTAAATTTTTAACCAAATCCAAATTTGGTTAAATAACCAAATTTGGTTAAATTTAAAAATTTAACCAAATCCAGTTTGGTTAAAAAAAGAAAATAGTATACAGCTGTTACTCATTTCTTCAGTATTCAGGGCCTCAGGAAGTTTCTGGCATAATCCCGAAACATTCAGAAATGAAAGCGCAGAACTGAAGGCTGGGATACAGTGCACAGCAGGGCTACAGACAGCATCTAGCTTCTCTGCCTTCCCTCCAAGTCTGTGAGATGAAGACTGCCCACAATAAACGGTGGAAGCTTCACCATAAAGAGCTCACTTAGCTGGCTGTGGTGGTGCACACCTTTCGTCCCAGCACTAGGCAGCAGAAGCAGGCAGATCTCTGCATCTGAAACCCACTGAACTACCCACACAGCAAGTCCCAAGCTACGCGCCAACGTTTTATTGGTCTCCCCTTCACCTCCCAAAGAGTCACTTAGAAGACAGTAGCTTCCAGCTGCAGCTAACTTGGTATGTTACAGAGCCAGAGGGTTAAAGCCACCACTGAGTGGCACAGATGAAATGGGTGGGACACGGATGCAGCCAGGCACCACTCAACTGGCTCATGAGACAAGACAGCCCGAGTACTCTGATTATTTAAGTATCTCAGAGTTGGCTGTGATGGCAAAACAAACATGCACTTAAGTACAAGGGAAAGAACAAATTCACAGCAGCAATTCACAAATTAAAGAGAGTTTATTGAGACAAAATACAGAAGGGAGCCTAAAGGGGAAATAAACAGGGGAAACAACTCAGCCAATGAACAAATGGGACACACTGACAAGGAAAATGGGCCAGAAAGGTGAAAGACACTGACTTAGAGACACGGGCATCCATTTTATGGGGGGATGCTAATGGAAACTGCTTCAAAATTTAAGAGCGACTTTAAAATAAAACCTCACAGTCGGCAAAGACATCAACTGAATGCTTGAGGCTTTATTTTTTATTCTTTTATTTTTATTTAGAGAGGAGAGAGGGAAGGAAGAGAAGGGGGAAAGAGAGAGAGAAATGAAAAAAAGAAAAATATTTCAAAAAGGGCAATACAGCAAGAGCCTACCTCAAGGAGGCAGGAAGAACAGACACTAAAACAATACATAGCAGAAAGGACTTCCAGCTTAGGGCTTGAATGCACCTTCTCAAATTAATTCTTACTTAATCTTATCTGAAGAAATAGCTGAATAGGGTTCCCTGTTTTGTTTATGTTTTTACTAGTCTGTTTTTGTTTCTTAGTCTATAATAAATTTTTTTGGGGAAAATTTTTTTGTTTGTTTTTCAAGAATGAAGCTCAGTGTGTCATGAAAATTACACAAGTGAAAGGAAGGGGAATTCCAAATAGCTGGCAAAATGCCCTCATGCAGTTACAGAATCTTGAGAAAACAGATTCTTAAGGAGATTCCTGGGTAAAATGGTATGGTAGGATCTGCAGACAAACGTAACGTAAAGTAGGTAAGCTGGGTAAGGGCCATGTCGTTCTAAAGATAATGGGATCTGCTGAGGAAGTTTAAAGTAAAATGACCACACCAGGCCAAGACAACTAGCTGCTAAGCTGTAACAATAGTAAGAGAGTAATAAAGCTATGGACCAGGACTGGGGCAAGGGAGAATCCACAGGATTGCATGACTGATTAGATATGTTAGATCAGCACGAGGGAGGGAGGGGATTTCAAATACTCAACACTTGTATTCTGAGAGAACATAAAGGCAAGAGTCATACAGCCCTGCCTTGAGAACAGAGGGGTAAGGGCATACAAGGATGTCCTTCATGAGAACAGCTCCACCAGCACATCTCAGGTCACGTGATCACATGAGCTAAATGACTTCTGGGAAGACTCATATAGCCCTTTTATCTCACTAAGAAAACTCTGGGGGCTGGGTAGATGGCTCAGTAGTTAACAACACTTGTTGCTCTTGCAGAGGACCCGGGTTCAGGCCCCAGGACCACATGGAGGCTTGTATCCATCTATAACTCCTGCTCCAGGAGATCTGACATCCTCCCATAACAGGCACCTGGCACAAGTGTGGCGCACACAGGCACATGCTGGCAGAACACTCACACAAAACCAAAACAGATACATCTGAACAACATTAAGAAACCTTGTTATAGTTCAATCTCTCACACTGCAGGAAAGCTTGTATTTTTATACAGGGTTTCAGTTCGTATTTTAAAGCAATGCCCTGAAAGCGTAATTCCACTCTGTTATTTACTCGTGAGAACACACATTTACAGAAAAGTGTTATGTGTGAAAACGTAGACCATGCCAACCATTAGACCTATTGCCAACTCAAAACATAAGCATTGTAGCTTATGCTGCAGCCTGAGCTGCTGGGGTCCCATCTTACGTGTCCTGTGGCTTCTAGTGTCAGACCCCCGGGAAGACTCGCGTGTGCGAGGAGGTCTGGGGCTGGAACAGCTCGTAACGTATCTCATGTGCTGTAGGATTAAACATGGCTTTCTTGTTTTACTGAGCGCCTTAGGGAAACAACCACCAGTGACTCAGAGCAACACCAACAGCCACGCTGAACTTACAATCTGGGGCTGCCTGTACAGTTAGGAATGATCACAGGATCACCGAGTTCCTAGCTTTGGATAACTAGTGTGCCTCTTAGCCTTCAGCTACCATAAAATATCAAAAAAAATGCCAGGTTCAGTGGCATAAGCCTGTAGTCCAGGTAACTCAGGAGGATCCCTTGCCCCCAGGAAGGGCAGCCAAACTGGCCAACAGAGTGAGTCTATTAGGTCTTTTTTGTCGTTGTTGTTTTAGATTTATTTATTTATTTACTATGTACTACCTGCATGTAGGCCTGCCTGCAGGCCAGAAGAGGGCACTGGATCTCATTACAGATGGTTATGAGCCACCATGTGGTTGCTGGGAATTGAACGCAGGACCTTTGGAAGAACAGTCAGTGCTCTTAACCTCTGAGCCATCTCTCTAGATTGAGTCTGTGTCTTTTAAGAAGTAAAGAAACTATTAAAAAAGGAGAGCAAGTGAGTGCATCTATACTAGTTCTGTGGTTAAAGATATTCTAAGATCCTGTGTGTGTGTGGTGTGGTGTGGTGTGGTGTGGTGTGGTGTGGTGTGTGTGTGTGTGTGTGTGTGTGTGTGTGTGTGTGTGTTTGCCTCTGTATGTATGAGACAGTCTCCACACATAGCCCTGACCGGCCTGGAACAACACCCCTCCTCCTCTGCTCTAAGTGCCGGGGTTATAGGCAGGTGTCACTGCACGCAAGTTGTTTTATATCTTTTTTTTTTTTAATTATATGGATTATTAGCTAGAGTTAAGTGTTTCAGTAGGTCTTTTTAAAATTCTTTTGCACTAAATTTTAAATTATATGTACATATAAATAATGGAACAAATATTTTATTTCCTAATTGCATATTCATGTTTAGATGGTATTATTTTTCATGTTTCTTTAAGCACAATATGATAATGTGAATAACATGTTAAGTGAAAAAAGTCTTAGAGATAGGGTAGAAAATTAAAAAATTACAAACCTTGTATGTGTTGAGACTCCATTTTCTAACAAGTTCTAACTTTTCCATTGCAGGATTTTTAATTTCATCTGCTAGGATAACTGGTCCACTTTTTGTACGTGTTCTTTGGCCACCTGCAGGATCGTAACAAAAGACAAAAGCACAATCCAGATAAACACAGGGCATGAGAGAAAAATGAAACCTGATGCTATTCAAACTAAACTACTTAAATAAAAAATGCAAAGGTCCCTACTGCATGAAGGACTAGAGCCTCCTGGAAATTAGGATAATTTCCTCATCACTTCCAAACATTTCTGTCCACTAGGGAAACATGTAGTTTGTGTCACTTTAAGAAACAAATTCTGCTGCAAATTTACCTTAAAAAACCAAAACAAGGAGCGCCTGGCTGGCCTGGGAGGCCGCACTCAGACAGCGCCTGCTGCCTGAGCCCAGGGGTCCTGCTCGGATCCCAGCAGCCATGGAGGAAGCTGGCGTAGCGCTGCAGGTCGGCAGCCCCAGGACAGACGGTGGCCAGGGGTCCCTGCAGCTCAGCGGTCAGCCAGCCTAGCTGAGCGGGTAAGCTCAGGCTTAGAGAAGGACACCAGCCTCAAAACACAGGGCGGAGACTGGCCGTAAAAGACAACCAAGGCTGGCCTGTGGACGGTGCATGCACACGTGCGCGCACACGCACCAAAAGTCGGTAAGTGTCCATTCTCTCCTCCCACTTATTCCAACAGCCAGGTTGGCTTCCCGTACAGCTTCCCCACACCCAACACACAAAGAAAACCAAAACCAAGAATTTATAAAATTCTCAGAATCAAATGTTAATGCCATACAAAAGGAAATGTGTAATTTGTTTTTTCCATCTCTCTGTTTTGTGTCGTGACTTTGAGAGCATCTCTTTATGTGGCCCAAGTCAGCCGTGAACCCTGAAGCCTCACCTCATCGCCGCTGAGGTTATAGGCGTGCAATACGAAGTCCACTGTATTTTTCAATGTTTTGTTGCGATCTACGAACTATGTGTATGCTGAAACTGACAGGCACACAACCTTTTCACTTGACTCATTCTCAACAGTAACATGACTGCCGAAACCCCGTTCCGTTTGCAGAGGGCAGAGCCGCAAAGCTGAGAAGCTAGAATCAAATAAGCAGGCCTACACCAACCAGAGAAAGAAAGACTGGATTCAATTGTATTTTACTATGTTTTTAACCTTTAAAATAACTAAATTTCAGGTTTGAGATGCAACTTAATTGTGCTGAAAAGACAGGTGATGGCTAGAAGAGTGACTTCTCATCGTTAGAGAGAGCAGCAGCCCTGCCAGAAGAGCACATGCCTACAGACACAGAGCGAGCAGTCATGGAACTGAGCGAGGGCGGCTTCAGCGGGAGCAGTGCAGCGGATACCTGCAGGGCCAGTTAGGTCACCTCCTTGGTGAGCCAGCTGACTAGCTGCAACCCTGCTGGGAGACAGAACAGACGGCAAAGGTGGTGCTGAGGAACCTGGAAAGGGCAGACATTAAACTGTGAAAATCCGCTTCCTCCTCCACACGCTCGACATTTTGAACACAGATCCACCGACATAGTCAAACACTGCAATTAAGACTACAATTAATATGCTTGCTTGCTTTCAGGAAAGGACTAAGGGATGATGCTGTGGGCCTGAGTTCTATATAAACTTTTCATTAGCCTATCAAAACCAAACAAAGCACCCCACTATATAAAAGAACTGGCAAGATCACAGCTAAACAAGCTTCCCTGGAGTCTGTTATTTTCAAAACCAGGTCATATGAAAGTCCTAGAGTTAAATGATTTATAGTTTAAGTATCTATCTCATAGCTTGCCAGACTTTACTATGAGGAAAAGGCTGAAGTGTAAGAAAGGAATACTGAAGCATTTTTTAATACTTCTCACAAAAATGTAAAAAGACGTCTGTCCTTTGTCAGAATTAGAGCTGTCACAGGCCCTGCTGGCAAATTCTCCCAATCATAAACCAAGTGTGTACGGCAGACACTGCTGGCTGTGCTGGGAATGCAGGGCAAGCACAGAACTCAGTACCTGAGACTCAGGCACTCTTGGGACATTTCAGAACTGGTGCTGTCATGTTTCCCAGGTGATCATGAGACTCATCCATGGACCTTTAAGAGCATACCTTGGACTCTCCCAAGATCCACTCCCTAGCAGTGCAAAAGTCACCTGCTGCTTTTGAAGGCGACTTGGGAAATTTTCAAACAGTCAAGTTTGAGAACAAGAGGAAAGAACAATTTTTAAGTAAATCAACCGAGTTTTAATTCTGTTTCTGGGGATGAAATTCTGGTTCTGTCTATCACATAGTGTCTGGAGCACAATGACAGTTTACCTATCCCAAGCCTCTGTAGAAAAGTGAAATCTACCGTCTGTCAGGCCGACGAGGCGACTCTGCAGGAGAGGCAGTGGCTCCTGGGAACCCATGTAGAGAGGATCTCACTGTCCTGACTCCACACACACACACACACACCCAGTATTAAATCAAGTTAGACAGTAGTCACTAAAACATTAGAAATTCTTTCAACACTTAGCTGAGAATATTGCATTTTCTCTGCTTACTGGTAGTTGCGCAGCTGTGAGTGCCTAGGTGGTGTGTTTGCACAAATGGATGTGTGACGACCAGAGGAGGATCTCAGGCGTCCTGCACCATCACTCTTAGCATCACTGTCCTGACACAGCTTTATTCTCTCACTGAACCCGGAGCCAGGCCGGCCACCACCAGGCTCCAGTGATCTTGTCCCCATCTCCCAAGCATTGGGGCATAGGTACAAGCACAAGAAGCCAGGCCTGGCATTTTCATGGGTACTAGAGATTCAAGTTCAAATTCTCCCATTTGCAAAGCAAGTGCTCTTACTCACTGAGCCCCCTCTCCGGCTCTAGCTGAGAGTATTTTAATGCCTATAATACACTATTATTTTAATAATAATCTTCCCCAGTTTTCTGAGAAAAATAGATGAAATTCATTCATAACGGGAAAAAGACAGTATCCACTTTATATATAATTAGTAAGAAATGTACAAATTCCACTAAATTCTGATAAAGACAGCCTTTAGTCGTAAAAGTATAAAAACTTGCTTACACTGAAGTCAAGCATATGACAGACCTACATGGACTGAAACTATCTTTCAAAAGTAGAGATATCTGTCCCTTTAAATCTATTGAACTACAAAACTTAAAAGTAAACTGGCTGATAAGTATAAAGCAGTCTGAACACTCAGAATGAAGTATATGAGAAATGAGGCTCAAGAGGTTAAACAGTCTCCCGTGGAAAAGTTCAGAGTTGCCAGCACAGGGTCGCCAGCATCAAACTAAATACAAAAGCACTATCTACAAGTTACTAGCTTAAAGACACTTCAACAGGCTATCTAGGCTAAAACCATGTTATACAAAGACCATATTTCTATTATCCAAGGCCCAGGGTTCCCATCATAAGGAAGTAGTAAACATAAGGAAATGGCTATAGTTCCATGTCTGCTGACCTCAAGAACAGAGCTCTGTTGTTCTAGTTATTACAGTTCATTAATCTCTGTAAGGAATGATGCCACGCACAATATGACATGTGTATAATACATGCAGCAAATGATATTGCATCCCACTAAAATGGCAAATGATGTGGTGCTGAGGTGGGTGGAGTTTTAGCTGTCTGCCTTACCTGCAAAGTCACCTTCCATTTTTCAGTATCTTCAGGACTGTAAGCCTTCAGACTGGTGTAGTTTCCTTCCCATCTAAACTTAGCGATCAAAAGTGCTCACTAATACCCACAAAAACCTCTTAAGAATCCAAAATCTTAAAGCTGGGAATGATGGTACACACCTCTTATTCTAAGGACCCAGGAGAGGTGGTGAGGTAGCACCTGGATTACACGCCAAGACGCTCTCCCGAAAGAAAAGCAAAAACCAAACACAAAACCTCAGGATCTTGCTAGCTAAATTTGGGGAAATAAGCAATTTCCTCTCAACAGAAACTTAGGAAAGCGCAAGAATTAGAATTCTCATTTTAAAAAAAACAGCAAACAAATAAACAACCCCCACCCCAACAAACCAAACCAAACCAACCAAACAAACCAAACAAAAAACAAAAACAAACAAACAAACCCACCCTGGGGACTAAGCACTCCTCCTTGCTAGGAGCTTAGATTTGCTTTGGACTCAAGCTATCAGTGATTCTGCCACATTCCTGTGGTCAAGCAGATTTCAGTATCTGTTGTGGTTTTTAGGCTAAATTTAGGTATAATTTTTGACCTTTAACTTTAGGAATAAATAGAAAAGTACATTATTATTAATTATCTTATTCTAACTGTTCAAGTCATAAAAAGTCAAACCATGCCAAGTGTGGTGGCGCACACCCTTAATCCCGGCTCTCTGGAGGCGGAGGCAGGCAGATCTCCGAGTGTTTGAGGCCAGCCTGGTCTACAGAGTACGTCCACGGCAGCCAAGGCTGCACAGAGAAGCCCTGTCTTGAGAGAACAAAAAGAAAACAAAAAGCCGGAAGGCTGCAGCCTCTCGTGCTGACCTAACCCTCAGGCACCTTCCCTCATAGTTACTTGCACAAAAGCCCTGACCACCAAGTGTTCAGTGATAGTCCCCACTGGCCACATTTCAGAACGTTGCCAAGGCTCACAATGAAGTCAGCCAGTCAGCCAGTCTATGCGCATGGGCACTAGGAGAGCCTGGGTGGTGCGGCCTCGAGGACCACCTGTAATGAGCCACAGTGGGTACTGGCCTTGGTCAGGTGACCTTGGAGACCTCCTCTGGGGCAGGCACAGGAAAACAAAAGCTCATCCTCTTTCTTTTGAAATCTGTAATCAACAGTTAAAATCTGTGGTTAACCCAAAAGTATCTAAGTTTACCTCTTAAAATAATTTGATTGTGGCTTTCGTTCACAATATTTAAAAACTGTTATCAAAAAGTGTTCCTTATGTGAGAGCTGAAGGGGTGTGCTTGAGCACTAGGGCATGAGTGAGGCACAGGCTGCATCCTGGAAAGAAGGTAGGTAGTCAAATTATGCAGACTGGTATACTCCTACAAAGATCAGAGGAGCGATCTGAAACTGTTTAAACTGAAGAGAAGGATGGTTAAGTTCACGGTCACTTTTCATCACAGAAACAAAGGGCTCAATTCTTGTCTTCTTAACAAAAGAGGCACTTCGTGGGCCGCCCCTCTTTCACTTGAGCCAGCTTTGAAGTATGTGGTTCCTTACCTTGAGATGCTCCTGCTTCAAGAACCCCCTCTTTGGTACTGTCAAAGCCATGAGATGTAATCTGAGTTTCTGAGAGTCCAAGTCCAGATGGTAACGAAAGCTTTAAGTCCTTGGTAACATTTGAATAAAAGAAAAAACTTGGTGAAAGATCTCATATCACATAACATTTCAGAATTGTGCCTTTAACTACACTTATGAGATTTTTCTCTTTCTACAGATTATCTCCTTAACTTGACATGGCATTCTGATGATCAAATACAGCAAGGTTTGCTATTAGGAGGTTCAATGTAGGCCAAATACAACATTATCTTTACACTGATCACAGCTTAAGAGATCAGGACATGAAGGTTGGAGAGATGAGAATGAGGGTAAAGGAGGATGCATCTCAACTAACAAAGACCCTCATAGAGGAGGCAGGAGACTCTGGAGTCATAACCACATAGTTGTCAAAGCAGGGAAGCCAGCAAGGAAGCTTCCTGGGCCAATGCAGCTATGGTCTCCACTGAGGAATGGGGAGCAGGAATTAGAAGGCCAGATAATACAGGAAGTTTAGTCCCAACTGAATTTAAAAACTGAGTTCTGAATAGCAGATGTGCTTGATTTGGTGAAAGAACTACTTTAAGGATACTAATTTGGGACACATATAAGAACAGCTTAAAAGAGAAGCCGAAGGCAAGACCAATCATAAACTGGATACTATCATGTCTCATCTAAGGACAGCCTGAAATTAGAGAAGTACAGCCCCCGCCAAGTGAAATTCACGGATAATTAAAATTAAAACTTGTGATGAAAATCTGCTACATGCTGATGGTGGAATAGCTGACATTTACAACTGGCATCACAGAGCACTCAGACAGCCTAGAGGGTGACTGAATTTCAGCACCTGTATCTACTCTGCTGCTGGGGTGGAAACACTTCAGCACACGTTCAGCGACATCTGTAGCAACAACATGATTTGAAGAACTTTCTGTCTGATTCCTGAATTCCTCCAACTCCTAATTGTATCCATTATTTATGTATCCTTGCTCAAGATTTTAGCAATGCTCTATTCGCCTAAAACTCTCCACTGCTATCAATGTGAACTTGGCAATATACACAAAGTGGCTGAAATACAATAAAGACAACTATGTTTATCATCCTTACATTCTAGGGGAAAGTATTTGCTACAAATCTACTTTGAGAATTAAAAACAGCTCCTGAGGACAGACTTCTACAGAGTATCTTTTCTGGCGACTTGGCATGAACTTGTGCCTTTCTCTACCTGGCACCTCTGGAGGAATCCTTGGAACTCCATTAAGACTGAGCACCCAGGTCAAAAACCTGCTGAATGGTTATACCAACTAATGTCCTTAGTGTTACCCTAAGCATTTAAAGAAACTCAATATTTAAAACGTATTTTCATTTTAGAGATGGGGCTTCACACTGACCTTAAACCTGCAACCCTTCTACTGCGGCCTCTTGCATTCTGGAGTGACCTGTGTCACTACATCTGGCTGAGCAAACATGATTTGATAAACACACAGGGATTCATGCCATTTCCACATAGGGATACCTCTGAGCTTTAGTACTGCTTCTGATTATCCTTTCTTTTATACTCTCCTGAACCATTTTAATAACTGAAATATTCATTCATTTTTAAGATTTTCCCCAGATCCTAACTATTCCTAAGAATAGAAAACTAAATATGCATCAATTGACTTTCTGTTGGTTTTTTACAGCATTTCTAGGCCATACATAAACCTCAACTTTTATTTTACTGCAATGAAGTACTCTATGCATTACTTTTAAGGCATCTTTGCTTAGTTTTGAAAAACCTCGTTCTATCTATTCAACCTTAAATGTCATAACTTTCTAGCTAGGCCAGTTACTGAGTGATTTATCACAGGGTACCTAAAATGGAGGGAGCGCGTCTGGGAACGGCTTCTCAATCTCACAGTCCTCAACCCTGCATTGCACCACACTAGTGTCTTCACTGGCATTATGCAAAAGGTGGGTCTCAAGTGATTTGTTACTAACAGTGACTGCAACAAAAACATTTACATTGTGATAGTCAAGGTTATCTCTGCATCCCAATATGCTTTCTAGACAAAGATGCAAGCAGAACTTCTGAAAGAAAACAAGGCTGCTTAGCACTGCGGTTATCAGTAAAGAAGAGTTCTGACACCAAGTTCCGATACTTTAAAAATCAACAGCAATAACCAGGTTGATGCAATGGCTGTGACAGCTGCTCCTAGGCTGGGTCAGATGAGCCTCACCTGAGAGCCTGGCGTAGTCACTTAATGACCACGTGGTCCAGGCAGCTTCTCTACCTTGTTGAGATTCTTTACTATAAAATGGGAATAATTGCTAAAATGGGGATAATTGCGGGTTGATAATTCTTACTTCACAGACAGCACACAAAGGGCACGTAGGATAATACCCTCCCGTATTAACTTATAAACAGAATCCTGCTGAATGTTTGAAGTTGGATCAACTGAAGATTATATATGTTGCATATAATGTAGGATGAGTGATTTTTACTTTATGAATGACAAAGACAGCAGAAGACACCAAAGTCATTAGTGATCTCCTTATCATCCCTCAAACATGGAATTATAAGCACTCATTCTTGACCCATCATTAAGTAATACACCCAACAATGCCATCTTAATTACATTTAGGGCATGCCCGTATTTTAAAACAACCATATAATTAACTTCTAATATTCACCGACTCTCCATAAGACACCTACAAAGAGCTTTCAAGTCTGAGATCTTGAAGTTGTAAAATGGCACACACTTGCTAAGCCCAGCTACCTGAGACTCAGAAATAGAGTTCGTTGAGCCCAGGTGTTTGATAGCAAGAACTCACCTCAAAGATAAATACAAATAATAAATAAAAGTACATATGTAGGCTACAAAATGAATTTACATAACAGAAACTGCCTATAAATAAAAAAAAAGTCTTTAAAGGGTAGGAGTAAGTTTTGTGCTAAAAATAAGAAAAGTACAGTGAACAAACAAAAAAAGAGGAAGAGGCCAGCAAGCAGACTGTGACTTTCAATAAAAGTAACTTAATTTGGTAGTGACAGAAACACTGGAACAAGCACGTTTCCAAAAAGAGATGGAGAGACGAAGTGATCATCACCGGAGGCTTCTGCAGGTCCTCCAAAGCCTGATGCCTCCACACTTCTAAGAACACTGCTCTCAGGAGTCTAAGGGACTCAAGCCCAGGCCTTGGCATATCTGCTGGACACGAAGTCCAAACCAAACACCTTCTTCCCAAGACAGAAATCAACAAGCCTCTCGTGAAGCGAAAGAAAAACATGGGTCTTTGGTCTCAACTGGTTTCTTACAGCACCCGATATCCAATAAAGTCACCTCTGGGGTGCATGTGAGAGACCATGAATGCTTTCCACAGTGGTAACTCAGTGACAAACAAAAGGGTCTCAGTGCCTTTTCTCTGCCTCCCCTACACCCTTCTCTCAGTGTAGGGGACAGAAACCTGGGCCTTGCATACGTAAGACACAGATCTGCCACTGAGCTATACCCTCTTTATATTTTACTTTACCCATACAAGACAGGATTAAAATTTTAAAACTCAGAACTCACTTTTTTATTTATTATAATTTTCTGCTATTTTAACACCCTTATTTAATTTGATACAAGTCATCCTGCTTTACCCACTTCATTTCTAGTCTCCCTATTTTTTTTTCAAGGATGTAATTTCATAAGTCATGCTAATTTTTTAGACATGTATCTTTCATTGAAGATGAACTCTCCTTAGGAAAAATATGAGGACTTTAAAAATCTAAACAAATCAAATGCTGCTGAGCCTTAATCTTGACCATCACCTTGACAGGTTTAGAGTCAGCACAGAAATAACCCTCTGGACACATCTTCTAGTGAGGTTCTAAATCGGTTAGCTGAACTGGAGACATCATTCTGGGGCTAGGGTCTCACACCAAATAAAAAAGGGAAAGATGACATCTCTGTGATGATGGTCTGGACTCTCAAGCTGTAAGCCAAAATAGCCATCAGCTGCTTCTCAGGTGCTCGCTCACAGAACAAATACAGCGCCTGACATGGGCAGTACACAAACGGTACTCAGGTATACGCGCCAGCTGCACTTACGTGAGAACATTAGCCACGTGTACTGGTCTCTCGTAAGAACCTATAAGCCAGTTCTCACAGAGAACTCTTAAGAGTGGAGGGCTGCGCAGAAGCTGCAGCAGTAACGACTGAATAGATGCGATAGGCATCTCTGATGACGTCCACTTTTAAGTGACACACGCTTTATTACCTTACTACTTATTACTGCTTTATTACTGACAGCCTCCAGCCTGACAGCGCTCATGGTGTTCCTTGACTCAAAAAGTAGCAATCCTTCAAGAAGCAGAGCTTGTCTGTGTAAAAGAGTGTAACATTTGAATGAAGTGCTGCAAAATTCTGAAAAGGGACTAGCAGCTTGATGGTACACAGCCACTCAGGGTGTCTGAGAGGAATGGATAACCTGTGAGGTAATGCTTAGGGTCCGAGTGTGTCCGCTTGTCTACTGGGGAGTGTTATGTTTCCTAAGTGTCCACACAGCCTCAGAGCGTACACAATCTTCAAGTGTGTACTGTCGGTTTTTATTTATTCCTCTATTTGATAGAGTACATTTCATAACCAACATTAAATCCCCTCTTCACATTTTTATGTTGCTGGTATTCAATTCAAACCATAAAATGGCTTAAGTCTCAACTCTACTGAAGCTATGTCAATGCTGAAGTATTTAATACATTTAAGAATAATTTTCAATTTGCCTATAAGCAAATCTGATGCTTTAAAAAAAAACTTCAAATAAGTTTCATAAGCATTTTTAATACATTGTAAATGATACAAAATCAGACTAATAGATTTCCTAAAGCTATGAAGGAGTGTTCATTTCAAACCTTTGCAAGTTGTCTCTAGTTTTAATACTGGTTAAAAAAGAATGCAATTTTTTAAGTTTTTGTGTAAGTGTGCCTGCGTGAGTGTGTGTCTATCTGTGGGTGTGAGTGTGTGCCAGGATTCTCATGGAGGCTGGGAGACCTGGAACCCCTTGGAGCTTATAGGTGTCTGTGAGCTGCTGACATGGGTGCTGGGATCC